GAAGAATCTCATTTGTCCAAATTGACATATTTGGACGCCGTGATCAAGGAAACATTCAGGTTACAACCTCCAGCTCCCCTCTTCGTGCCTAGATGCCCAAGTGAAACTTGCACAGTGGGTGGTTACACTGTTCCGAAGGGTACCATCATGATCATGAACGCTTGGGCGATCCACCGTGATCCCGAGAATTGGAAGGACCCACTGGAGTTCATCCCCGAAAGGTTCTTGAAGGAGAAATGGGATTACAAAGGAAACAATCTGAAGTTTTTCCCGTTTGGAGCCGGGAGAAGGATATGCCCAGGAGCACTTCTGGGGGAGAAGATGTTGATGTATATCGTTGCATCCTTCTTCCATTCGTTCGAGTGGAGGTTGCCGGAAGAAGAAGATTTCGACCTTTCTGAAGAGTTCGGCATCGTGATCAGGAAAAAGAAAGCATTAATGGCGATCCCCTCTCCAAGATTATCGGATGCAAGTCTCTACATATGAATAAGATCGCCACATCAAGATCTGTCTCTATCCTTACAACTGTTGTAATCAAATTAATGTAATAAATTGGAGTTTTATGTTTATGGTCAGGTTGAAAGCAGGCAATTTTACGAGTTGTATGCTTATGAATCCTATTGTTTTACAATATATATATATATATATATATATAGAGAGAGAGAGAGAGAGAGATTAATAAAGTTTAAGAAATAAATCGTGATTCTTGAATCTGATTTGGTGATTTACAATTTTACGTATTTGTTAAATCTTGATTCTTGAATAGTTTGAATCTATTGGCGTAACATGCGTACCTTTCTGGTAAGATCGGGACGAAGATTAACATCAATAAACTTGCTTTTGATACAAAACTTAACGTCGTAACAAGCATATTATGGGGTTGTAGTAAAAAGAATGATGATTCTTATTATATTTTGGGAGATGGGTTTCGACAAGTTGAGTTCAAGATCGTTGAGTTAATGGGAGCACCAAATATCTCTGCCGATGTTATCGTGGTTCGATTTGCAGGGAAGGCAGCGAGAAATCGCACACTCATCATGAATATGAATGTATTATTTATCATGAATCACACATTGATAATGAATTTGGCGTGTTATTCATTCATGATGAATATGTACAACATTGATAATGGATAACACGGTCATATTTATTATGAATATGCGACGTGTCATACCGTGTATGGTTCCGGGTTCTTAATTGATTTTAAGAATCGGTATTGCTCTCTAAAGTGTTACAATAAGTTGTTAGACAATCTAATACGTTCAATTTATTATGAAAGGTATGTGGTATTAATAAACAACACAAAAAAAAATTAGTCTTACCAAACAACCTTCGGCCTATCTGTATTTGGGCCTTCGTCCTTCGTGAATGTCAATGGTTTAAACCTCATCAAAGATAAAGATGGTGTGTGAATTATTTGTTGCATTTAATATATATATAAGAGCGATCAAATGAAAACCACTCCAATTTGTAAAAACCGTAAAAACTACTCTCATCCATCGTTAATCTTATGAATTTTTTTCATGAAATTGTTAATCTTGTGAAATTGTTTCATATAATAATTTTTTTGATGAAGTTGTTTCACATGTGGTTATGAAATTGTTTCATATACTACTTAATGAAATTTTAATGAAACTGTTTCATGTATTTCTCTAAAATTAAAATAATGAAGATGATAATATCCATGATTAACACCATCCACAATAAAAATGGTTAATCAACCTCTCATAATTACAAAAAAATGAACAAAATGAAAAATTATGATTTGTTGAATGAGGTTTTCACGGTTTTTACAAATTGAGTGGTTTTTATTTGAACTTACCCCTATATATCATTTTTATTATTTTTTTGATAAATAAGGAAGTTATTAAGGAATATTAAATAAGGAAATTTAATAATGAAAATTATATGAATGAAAAGATTTAAATATTTTAATATATTATAATATTAAAAATTGATTTTATTTTTTTATTATTTAATGAATCTGGAAATTTTTATGAAGATTATATTTTGTTATGGAATGAATTCTTGATTTGAGGTTTGAAGAAAAAAAAAATAAAAAATCATGAAACTGTTTCATATTTTACATTTTAATGAAATAGGTGCTTTGTTTTTTAAGTTTCATGGTGATCCATGGTGATTGTTATACATGTTGCTTTGTGATTTAATGTATATATATATATATATACATACATATATATATATATATATTTATATATATATATATAAAGGCTAATACATATTTCAAGTGTCATATTGAAAGGTGGTCTAACTTCTTCTTATCAACTTATTGTGACACCTTTAAATAGAATGCACAACTATTGATCTTTTTAAAGTCTCATCATAATATTCTATTAGAACACCCAAGCCACTAAATGTATTGTAATAAGAAGATAATTTGCACTAACAAAAATTGGATATTGTTATAACAGGACGTCACGTCCGGCAGAATATCAACTATGATCGAATGGGTAATGACAGAGATTTTACATAATCCAAGAATAAATGCAAAGATTCAAGAAGAATTAACAGATGTTGTTATTGGTATAAACAATATCGTTGAAGAGTCTTATCACCCAAATCAACATATTTGGATGCAGTGATCATGGAGACATTCAGGATACACCCTTCGCTTCCTCTGCTCATGCAACGATGCGCTGATAAATCTTGCATGGTGGGCAGTTACACTATCCCAAAGACCGAAGACATTATTTTAAACTGTGCTTAATCGCAACTTATGTTCATCATTTATGATTTGCACGCGACTCTTTTTCTCCAAAAATAGTGTTACTTGTTTTATTTTGTTTCATAATTCAAAATATATTAAAAAGATGACATTCTTATAATTTTTTACAAAATTGGCTTTCAATCTTTATACGGCTAAAGGACAAAGATTTGGTCACAATATTGAACGACGACAGACAATCTCCATAATCATGCATGTAGGCAAATACATTGTCTATCGATGGGTTTGTTGAATGTCGAATCTTGTGATACAAAAGTCATCATCTTTTGGATTCTGCTGTCGTATGATAATTGCATATGTGAGTTTGAGCTCGCGTTTGAAGTCATGCAGCTCATTCAAGCAACTTGCATCAAGTTGCATGGATGTTTCGCAAGCAATTTGTAAAACAATTTGCACCAAGTCGCATACGCATGTGATATGATGTGAATTATCTAACAAGTTACTTGTATGGAGAACCGTCTAATTGATAGACAACTTTGACTAAGTCAAAACTAGCCGCTCGTGTGTAAAAATGGACCGAGCGATATCTTAAACACCTTTTAAGCCATCTCTAAAGTTATTAGACAACTTTGACCAAGTCAAAACTAGTCGCTCGTGTGTAAAAATGGACCGAACGATGTCTTAAACATCTTTTAAGCCACCTCTAAAATTATTAGACAACTTTGACTAAGTCAAAACTTGCCGCCCGTGTGTGAACATGGACTGAGTGATACCTTAACCACCTTTTAAGCCACCTCTAAAGTTGTGTACGGGCACAAATCTGATAAATTATGTTTTAGGTTTAAATTGCAATGCTTGCGACCTTTTGGGCTATTTTTGTCGGTTAAATTCAGTTGAGAGGAGAAGGGTATATATATATATATATATATGTATATATATATATATGTATGTATGTATATATATATATATGTATGTATGTATATATATATGTATGTATGTATATATATATATATATATGTATGTCTATATGACGCTTTTCGGCGTCGTGACAAGTTTTTTAGAATATTTTTAAAATAAAATGTCGTATTAACTACTTTATATAACATTATTTGAAATAATTAACTTATAAACATAAGTATCCTGTAGAAAAATGAGTTTATAGGACGCTTCTACAAAATGTCTTGTAAAATATACAACACCTTATTTTGAAAATGTCTTAAATATAAATTTGTTAAAACACCTAATAATGTTTTATAAATTTATTGTAACATTTTTACATAAGACGCTTTATTGTTTAATCATATAAACTTAAGTTCTATAAAACACTCTATTATGATACTTACAAAAATAAAGAAAAGCCGTTCAATGAATAAGAAAGTGAGTTGTAATTAACCAAATCATTAAATTTGTATATATCTGGGATCACTGGTGGCCGGAGGACGGGGGACGGAGAGAGAAGAGAGAAGAGATGAGAGATGGAAGAAAATACTTAAAATGTCTTTGCATTAAAATTTTAATTCAAAATTACCAAAATTATTAAATTTTCTAATTTATCTATTGATTTGTGGTTGAGATTGAACTTCATGGTTACCACAAATTAATTAGTTTTCATTTGATTAGGTTCTCATATATATATATATATATATATATATATATATATAGGGTTGGAATCACGTGAGACCCGTAAGACCAATTTATGTTCATTGATCAACTTTATAAGCTAATGATCTAATGGTCTAAAGTTGCACGGTGGCAATTTTGTGATTAATGAGAAGTCTCGTGGCGTTTATCAATGTTCAGATTGTCAGCTTGTAAATCTAAACCAAATGTTGAGAATTGGTCTTACGGGTCTCACGAAAAACCTTTGGTCTCATATGATCTCAAGTCTATATATATATATATCGGGCACTCCAAAGTGTGAAAATTAATCCAGAAGTCCGTTCAACTTTTCTTCGTATTATTAGCATATGTACAATTTCTTTCAGTATATTCTTTCCTGTATGCTATTCACAAATCAGATCTTAACAGAAACAATCATTATACCATCTGGGACAGAGAACATGACTGTATACATCCTATCTTTCAAAACCTTACTTTCAACTGAGATATATTGCATTAATTTAGTTTAATTTCATACATCCAATTATCTTATAACCCAAAAGTATATGTGATTGTCCTTTTTAGGTTGGGGGAATAAAGTATGTAAAACCCATGATAAACCCGTCACAATCCGATTTTACACAACTAAGAACTTTTATCGAACAAGTAGTCTACATCATTCAATTATTGTCATCAACAAAGGCACACGTTCATTGCAAGAAGCAAAAGGGTCTTTATAGACCGTTTATTAAATGTCGATAATTTAGGTTCTACAACGTCTAGTTTTCACAAACTCATACAATATTTACAACCATAATACCATTTTTGTTGATATTTAAGCAATTAAGCGGAAGAAGCAGTGTTACAAACAGGCAGATCTTTCTCGGAATTTGGCGGGATGTTGAGAATAGGATTGCTCTCGTAAAAGTTAACAGGCTTCAGATCAAAGCTCGATGATACGGTCGGCATGATCGGGAAGTCCTCTTGGCATGGAACATGATGGAACCCTAATGTGTACCACATTACAATGTCTTTATTTTCAATCGCACGATCCCTGGAAAAAAAATTATATGACCTTGTAAGGGGATCATTTACATAAATAAAAGTTGGGGGATGTAAATGCAATTTAAATGAAAGTATGGGGACTAAATTGCAATTACATGAAAGAATGGCGGTTTTAAAAATGTGTAGTTATTACACTTTTTAATTAACCAAAATGACAATTTTATCCTTAATAATATATGAATACTTATTTTCAAACATTAGATTTGATCATTCCAATTGTAAAAACGATCAGACAAAAAATCAAATTGTGGGAAACGCTTACCTTTCGGACCAAACCGCAAGTGTGTCTTCCCCTTTACTTTGATACGTAAACAATCCTCCGGCCCACTCCTCGCTTCTATTATACGGAGTGACCCAAATTTGATTATTCGTAAACGCACCACGCTTCTGCGGTGGATCATCAAGATTCAACAAGCTGGCAGCAGTTCCACCAGGGACCAACTTATACCCGACCGGGTTTCCCACACGCGTCTTTTTAGATGGGTTGACCATGTGGTACTCGGACGGATCATACAGCTTCAGTTTAACTTGCGCATCTTTCTCCGTCTTTGCAACGTTTCTAACGGCTTTCAAGTAACTCAAGCGCGGAGATTCTCCGGCTGCCGTCTCTTGCCGCTTGATGTTGACTTTAACGAAGGAGTTTTGTGGGCCGTCGACATCCATGTCAAGGTAGAAGGTGATGTAGTGGTCGTGGATGACTCCGATGACGTTTTCCGATAAGAGGGTGCCGTGGAGATTCTCCGGCGAGTTGACTTGGTTCATGTTGACGTAGGAAGTGCCTTTCACCATCAAGATTCCACTCAATCCAACCTTCAAATCATAATGACATTTTATTCAAGATATTTTATGATGACGTTGGAATTGACGATCACTAAAGAAAAACGACAATTGATTTTATTATTATTTTTTAAAATTGTATATTTTATCAAAGAAAAAAACAAAAATTGATTTGACTGACGTTTCCGTTACATCCGTTAAATCAAGAGCTGTTTTAGATTATTTTTTCGTTACATCCGTTAAATCAAGAGTTATTTTAGCCTCTTTTTTTACTGGGTGCGAATAATATTTTTATATTATTTATTTAAATAATTTATAATATTAATTGATTTTGTAAGCTTTTTTCAAAATATTTATGAAGAAGAAAACGAAGCAAACCTTGACCCGAATCAATCCATCGGTTTGAAATTCCCAATCAACAATATAATCATAATTTGCGACGGAAGCCGCCATCCGTACAACCAGCGTCACCTTTGGTCTCACTTCTCGTATCTGCAAATACAAATCAAAATTCAATAATCACGGCGGCCGGCGATATTTTCGATAAACCATCACCATCAAAACTAATTCAACGTTCCACCCAAATCGCATTCAGAATTACATAAAAATCGGAATTTGGGACTGTTATTTCACCTCCATTCCGGTGATCGGACTCTCAGAATGCCGCCATCCGATGTCGCCGGCGTAACTCTCAAAAACGCAAACCATATTTGATCGGACGTATGGTTTTCCGTCACCGGCGGCAAACACACCGTCCATATAATAAGCATTACGTGGGCAATCATTAAGCGGGTCAAGCGGCATGGCCTGAAGTCCGAACCCGTATTCGCCGGCGTCCATATACGTCTTAAAATACCAAGCGTCGGTAGGATCCATATACGGAACAAATAGCTCCGAAGTAAACCCTTTATACATCACATTCCTCATCTCTCCAGTATTCGGATCCCGAACCATAACCCGAGAAATTATCACCCCAGCTCTCGGGTCGGGTTTCAGGTGAAATTCCCAATTTGCCCATTTCACTAGATGGTCATCTTCTATGGTAAAACTCGGACCCTTCGGTTGTTCGATGGATATCGGGTTAACCAGATTTATTTTGGTATTTTGTGCGGAGAAACGATAGTCTGTACCGGCGGCCTTTGGTATCGGGATGTTCTTCCCTTTATCAATGATCTCCACCACTTGTTTCGTGTCCATATCGAGAACAACTGTCAGCCCTTCGATCGGTCTCATATAAAAATTTGCAGTTCCTTCCATGGAGTAGCATTGTACCTTAATTAACCTCCGATTTTCCTCTTTCTTTCCGAACCATCCGATTGAAATCGGTAAACAAGCGAGATCCTTCAGATCAATGCCACGTGCAATGATCGTACGGTTGAAATCAGCGTTCCCAAGCGGTGCCCATGTTGATGACGTCATGTCTTCAATAGTCATCGTCGGGTAACCGGAGTGTTCACCGACGTCCACCGGAGTTATCTCTCCGGTAGCTAAATCAACGGTGAGCACGTGAGTAACGTCGTTGACACGTGCAATGACTGACCCCTTACGTGGCGGGAGAGGGTCGCCGTGGCTCCACGTCAGCACGTCGAACTTTTCTGGTTCTTCGAGGACGACGGAGTGAAAGGCGTAGGTTTTGGAGTTTTGGAATAGCGAGTGGGAGAGGAGGATAGAACGGAGTTTGTTGAGTTCAGTTAGGGTTAGGGGGTCAAGAGGGTGGTGGGGTACGTCGGAGGTGTGGTGGCGGACGGTGGTGGTGGTGGGTTTGGTCCGTTTGGATGGTTCTTTGAGAGTGGACTGGAAGAAGCGATTTTTGGTGGTGCACCACCGTGAGTTGGTGGAGCAGTCAAGCTCCTCCGCCTTGTCGGGAAGTGGGAGGTTGATGAGAGTTAGAAGGAGGAGGAGGGCGATGATGAAAGAGAGGAAGAGAAATCGGATGAGATTTCTTGCATCCATTTCTGTATCTCACTCTCTGTGTGTGTGTGTGTGTGTTGGAGGTTGAAGATGAAGACTACATATACCAGATGGAAAGCGATGATAGCCAGAATCTATTGAATCTTTTACTAAATTACATTTTTGGTCCATGTGGAAATGTGAAAGTTATGGATTTGTTCATCAAAGTGAAATAATTACAAGGAGTATCCTTGTGGTTTCAATTTTGTTAGGAATCATGTGTCTTCTGTTCACTTTGTTATCCGCCTTTCGTTAAGTGCCCTTTACGTGAGGGTATTTTGGTCAATTTATCTCCGACCATCCTGTAGCTACCGCCACCTCCGCTACCCATCTTTCTCGTGAGGGTATTTTGGTCAAATTATCTTCGACTATCCCTGTAGCTAGCGCCACCTCCACTATATGTACCCACCTTTCTCTGCTTTCTAAATTTGTCCAGTACAAACTATTTCTCGCTCTATCTAGACACTCATCGTCCTCCCTTTTCAAATCTTATACAAGATCTATTCAAGAACCGCCATGACCACAAAAAACACCTATCTTCTTTGATTCGACCATGGTCGCTACAAAAAACAACCACGTCAATTCCTATCTGCTTCAAGATCCCACATAGCACACAGATGATGTGGTGGTTTTAGTTAAAAAAAAAACTTGTGATAATTATCAACGAAAGTATAAAATCAGATAAAGTAAATCACAAACAAATTGAATTTGTTTCTTAATTTTGATTGAAGTTATGGTTCTTGGTGTTCACTTGAATCTAGGTATCTCTTGATTCTTGAAGTACACGAAGTTTTTAGATTTGAATTTCTCTGGGCTTTAAGATCTGTCAACAAAAATTCAAATAGACTAGCGGAAAGATAATTGGTTTTCGTTGAATTTTACAGGAACGATCAAACCCCTCTGCAATTATGGAGAGATAAAGAGGTGAGAGACGAAGAAGTGAAGAGGTCATGTATGGGGTAGGGGTGGCAACCGACGACAAAAGAAGGGAGTCGTAGATGGGGATGTTGTTCCCATAAATGCTTTAGAAACTTGAACAAACCGCATCCAAACTAGTACAATAAACAAATCATTAAATAAAATGGTACGACAACAAAAGTCCCATTCACGTGAGCTAGGGGCTCAACGAACACACGTCTAAAAGAGTTAGAGACAAGGACGTGCTTTGAACAAAAGTGAAAACCCAGGGATGTTTATATAAATTAGACTTTTTAAATAATCTAAAAAAATAAGCTAATTTATAATTATTAAACATGATTTCAGTTTATTTTTTTATAGCTCCACTAATTTTACAAGAATGTTTAAAAAAACAAAATAAGAAAAAATAGATTGCTTAATGGTTATAAACCTTATCAACCATGTATTCAGCCATTAACCCGCAATCGAACAGCACAAATCCATATAAACGACGAGAAATGTCTTAATCTTTCTTTTTTATTTTTTTTATTAATGTCCAAATCAAAGAAAATAAATCAAGCATTTGAATTTTAAAACAAGAACACAATACATAAATAGATAAAATTGTCAAAATTGAGTAACACGGTACCGTTTAAATTTTCTGTACACGTGTCATTTGTTAAATGAAGATAAATTACCAATAAGCTATGTTCAGATAATTGTTGATATAAAACTGTAAATATTAGGTTGTGTTTGATAAATTAGCTGATAAACTATTTTATGGTTGATAATAACTTTTGTTCAATAAGTTAGATTATAAGCTACTTTTTAACCATTCAAATGAGACTTTTGAAATAAGTTCAAACAATAAATTAGTTTACGTTTTTTTTTTTTCTTAATAAGAAAATTTTAATAAAAGTAAACATGTTAATTTAGTAAAAGTTGAGGTACTAAAGTTGTAAATTAACGGCGGAGAATATGCGAGCGAGTTAGGGAATCAATTCACGGAATAAGTGGAGACACGTCAGCATCAGATAGAGACGTCTGGTGGAACTCTGGGCCCCGACACTGAATCTGGAATTTAGTGTATATCAAGATTCCATTCTAACCCTACCTTTATTCAAGTGATTTATATTTCCCTTTTCATATTTTATTTTAGAGTGAATTACGGATTTGGTCCTTGTGGTATTTTCATAATTATGGTTACAAATTGGCCTAGGAGGAGGAGGAGGAAAGGTAGGGGGTTGGGTGTACGGTGACGGTTGTGGCCTAGGTCGTCGGAGAACAATGGGGAACAACAGGTGTTATATTCAACTATAGATCAGGATGGGAGAAAATTCATTTGCAAAATGATGGTGATAGGTATCACATGTTGTTGCATTTTATTGTCTGTTTGATGCCTTATAATCGTATATATTTGTAAAATATTTACAGTTAAATATCATATTTTTATGGGATTTCAATTCTGAACTTTCTTTTAAAATACTTTATAGGACTTCAGTTTATAGAATCAAACCAAAAATGAAGTATCGTATTAGCTATTTTATACGGCATTACTTAAAAAACATGTTTTATAAACACAAGCCTCTTATAAATAGATGGATTTATAGAACACTTTTCGAAAGAGTCCTATAAAATAGCTAATATGATACTTTATATTAAAGCTGATTTTGTTGTAGTGTATGAAACATATCAATTAACTAAAAGATAAGGGACTAAAATTGTAAATTAACATAGTAGAATGAGTAGTAGCATCAAATAAAGAAGGTTGTGGAGGGTGAGGGGCCAAACGTTGAATTTAGAATGTAGCCAATCAGGTAAAATAGCGTCATACATTTTTATATTGTTTTTTAAAAAAATTAGTATAAATTTATGTGGATAAATCTTAATTTTAATAATTAATTTTTATTCTTTATCTTTATTAATATAATAATATTTTATGTGATTTTAAGATAACGATAATGTTTTTATTTTTAAATAAAATATAAATTTAAAAATAACATAAAATTTTGAAAAAAATAAAATCGATATTAGTATCAAATTAACTAGTCTACCATACTTTCTTTTTCATCATCAACTATTTGGTACAACTGATTCATATTTTTTCTAAATCTTAAGTATATCACATTTAATTAATTTTTTCAATTTTAGATATATTATATATATGTTCCCAATCATTCAACATGTATATAAACGAGTCATATAGAGATGGAGAATAGATTATATATATATATATATATATATATATATATATAAAGAGAGAGAGAGAGAGAGAGAGAAGGTTTACTTTACAAACCATGTTATTTGTACAAACCGTACAAACTTTATTCAACCAATCATAATTTTTTATTTTTTCTAGTTTTTTCATTTTTTTTGTAATCATGAGAGGTTGATTAATCATTTTTATTGTGGAGAGTGTTAATCATGGATATTATCATCTTCATTATATTAATTTTAAAGAAATACATGAAACAGTTTTATTAAAATTTCATAAGTTTATATGAAACAATTTCATAACCATATATGAAACAATTTCATCTAGAAAAATATTATATGAATCAATTTCATAATACTAAACAATTTCATGAAACAAAATCATTAAATTAAACAATAAAATCGACGGATAAGGGTGGTTTGCACGGTTTGTACAAATATAGGTGGTTTGCATTTGATTGCCCCTATATATATATATATATAGAGAGAGAGAGAGAGAGAGATGACGTTTCAGAAGATACGTAATGATGTAATTATCTAATGTACATGTTAATATAGACTCGACAATCATATAAGTCCAATAAATAAAAGGATATCGGGTTTATCGGGGTGCGTTAGATTCAAATAAAAATAATCAAATATCAATCAAATACCTACAGTTTGAAGACTTTCCAACTTGAATTGACATTGCATTGTTTCAGGTTAAGTTATTTTGCTTTGTGTCAGGTTGGTGGATTTTTTAGCACCCTTAATTAAAAGGGGTCAAGTACACTTGACTATGCATTAATAATTAACTAATTATTTATTAAATATTTACTAAGTGTCAATATTAACTGGTATCAAAATCTATTATTATCAGCGTATACACAAAAATTTATCATGTTTGTAGCCATAATATATATATATATCTAAACTGGATCTACCAAATTTACCACAATTGAACATATTAGCATGTGCCAGCAGTTGAACATACGGGTAGATCTTTTGGAAACGTAGGTTTGGTTCTCAAGATTGGATTTCTATCGAAAAAATTAACGGGCTTCAGTTCAAAACTCGATGAAACTGTTGGCATCACAGGAAAATCTTCTTGACACGGTATGTGATGGAACCCCAACGTATACCATAACACAATGTCCTTGTTTTCGATCTCCCGATTCCTATATGATTATAAACAACTGATCATTAATAACTAAAAATATTACTATTGTTATATATCAAAAAAGTAAATTGATAGAGTTGTTTTTTCTATTAATATATTTAAAAAATAAAATTTCAATATTCAATAATTATTTAAAAATGAAGGGAAAAAAAAGATGGTTTACCTAGAGGACCACACTTCAAGTGTGTCTTCCCCATTGCTTTGAGATGCCAAAACACCACCAGCCCATGTTTCACTTTTATTGTGTGGAGTCACCCAAATCTATAACAACAATGACAATACATTTAATTTGATTCTATTATCATATTATATATACATATATATACATATAGAGAGAGATGGGTTCACGTAAGATCAACATGTTTTTGTAAGACTCGTGAGACCACAATTTTACACTTGAAACTTTACAACAAAACATTGTAAAGGTAAAAAAACCTCGAACCTTCACAGCAAAAACAGTGTGAATGTTACCTTCACAGTTTTTTAGTATGAAGTTTCAAATGAAGAAAGGTGGTCTCACGGGTCTCACGAAAATATGTTGGTCTCACATGATCTCAAGTCTTTCTCTCTCTCCCTATATATATATATATATATATACATATAAATATATATATAAAGAAAGTTCAAATGCAAACTTAATTTTCATTGCAAACATGAGGATTGATCTTGCTCTTTATTTTAATTGATGCAACAACTCACATTAAATATAGTTTTTGATTAAAAGTATCAATGAAGGTGATTAGGAGTAAAAAAAAGGCATTTAATTTCAATTCACGACTACATTTTTTGACTTTTTATTTTCTTTTTTAATTAAGAAAATTTGTACCTTAAAATTTTAAAATAAATTATCTTGAAAATTACTAATATTTTAATGAAAGAAATTAAATAAACAAAAACAAGAATTTCATGTTCTTCGATATGACATCTATCTCGATATAGCTTTTTTTATTCGTTTTAACCGTTTTTTTACGTGAAATGGTATAGTATGTATGTGTTATATTCATTATGAACATTTATATATATTCAAGTGAGTACAACAGCTCGACACTATATATCGATAACTTGACATCACCTTCTTCAATACTTTCTACAACTTCGTAAGGCACTAAATTATTCATCACTGTAATCCAACACTCATCAAGACCGATCAAGAACCCATCGAAACTGAGCGAGAACCTACCAAGACCGATCGAGAATGGTCGAGAATTCATTCATTAACTTGGTATGTGTTTATATGTGTTAAACCATAACCTACCACCTTCATTTTCGATCGAGAACATATCAATTGATTTATTATTTGTTTGTGTGTAAAACCATAGACTATCACTTTCATATTTTATTTGGAAGAATCGGGAACCCATCGAGACCAATCAAAAACACATTGAAATTGATCAACAACCCATTGGGACCGATCGACACCCGTCGAGACTAATCAAAAGAACTCATCCATTGACTTAATGTGTGTTTGTTTATGCAAAACCATAACCAACCACTTTTAACTTTTATCGAGATGGATCGGAAACTCATCCAAATCAATCGAGAACCCAATAATAAAAAAAAACTAAAGTATGTAAAGTTGAAACTGTACTATATTCACGATGAATAATATGTATATGCATGATGAATATTATGGTGAAAATCAATATTTATGCTAAACATCATACTAATATAGATACTAGAGAGTTATTGTATACACGTGATCGTGCATACATGATGAATAATATGTATATTCATGATGAATGCTACAGTGAAAATGTATATTCATGACGAATATCATATTGATGTATGAAAGTTGAAAGTTGAAAGTTGAAAGTTGTTATATACACGTGAACATATGTAATTATTCATGATGAATAGTATGTATCATATTGATGTATGAATACTAAAGAGTTATTGAATACACGTGAATATATATATATATATATATATATATATATTCATGATAAATGTTATGAAGAAAATATATATTCATGATGGATGTTATAATGAAGATGTATGTTGATGATAAATGTCATAGAGATGTATGAATACTTATGTTAAATACACATGAAAATACATAATTATTCATGATGAATGTTATAGTAAATTGTATATTTATGATTAATATCATACTAACTGTATGAATATTAAAGAATTGTTGTAAACATATGAACATGCATAATTATTCATAATGAATATTATACAAATATACTATTTAATGCAATAAAAGTTAAAAACATGGAAAAAAAAACTATATCGAGATAAATGTCAAATCGAAGAGATGAAATGCTCAATATTTTGATGTAATTTGTTTGATTAAACTATTAATTATTTTAAAATAATTTATTTTAAAAATTAGAGAATAAAAGTTTTAATTAAAAAAGAAAATAAAAAATCAAACATGGTAGACGTAAATCATAACTTCCATTTTTGTCTCTAATCACTTCTGAATTAACCTTTTTTATGTTTTAACCAATTATTACTTTTCTAAATTTTGGTCAATTGTAAAGATTTGTCCTCATGTTCACAATCAAAAATAAGTTTTCATTTGAACCTATATATATACATACATATATAGGGTTGGGTTCACGTGAGACCGGCCTGTTTTCGTGAGACCCGTGAGACCATATTTTTACACGTAAACTTCACAGCAAAATCACTGTGAAGGTTTAAAAAAGTCGAACCTTCACAGCAAAAACACTGTGAATGTTTTAAAAAGTCACATTCACAGCATTTTTGCTGTGCAGTTTCAAGTGTAAAATGCTGGTCTCACGGGTCTCACGAAAACAGGTTGGTCTCACATGATCCCAAGTCTATATATATATATATAAAGAATTAGAGTTAATGTGATAAACGTACAAAATGATATTCACCTTGGATGCACATTAGGGTAAAGATGCATCGAAATGCACATGACCAATCCATGTATCAAGTGCGATTCATGAGTGGGTTTGAGATTAAAAATGATCATTGATCCAGATCCCTTCTTACGTTTATCACACAATCCTTCTCCGATATATATATATATATATATGTGTGTGTGTGTGTGTGTGTGTGTGTGTGTGTAATTGCATACCTGATTATTCGTAAAAGCAGCCCGAATTTGTGGAGCATCATCATGGTCAAGTAGGCTAGCTGCTGTTCCACCAGGGACGATCTTATAGCCTGTTGGATTACCCAATCTTGATCTTTGAGAAGGGTTAATGACGTGAAACTCAGACGGATCGTATAGTTTAAGCTTTATTTTAGCATCATCTTCTGTCTTTGCCACCTTCCTTTTTGCTTTCAAGTAACTTTTTCTCGGTGATTGTCCTGGTAATGTTTCTTCTTTCACTAGATTAAACTTCACAAATGAATTGTTGGCACCATCGATGTCCATATCGAGGTGAAATGTGACGAAGTGATCATGAACCACACCAATCACGTTTTCAGATACCAGTGTCCCAGTCATGTCGCTAGTGTTCGGTATATCATTTATGTTTTCATATGGAGTGCCTTTCACCATTAGCATTCCTGATAGTCCTACCTGTCGTTCATTATCAAGAATGTGTCACGTGTAGCTTAATTAAAAACAAAATTAATAGAAAATAATGATTAACTTCAACTCCTTCTATAACAAAATAAATGTTCGCAATAAAAAAAAACATATTGTTTCATAAATGTAAATTTATTATATCTTTTATTAATAATATAAACTCACACACCCTACTCATTTTTGGTGATGTTTGAACCACTGATATATAAGTTGACATATCTTATAACTAAAGACAAAATTAGAAAAATGGGCACATACTTTTAAAAGTTGACATGTATTTTGATCGGAAATAAGGGTATTTTTGGCAAACTAGCTGATAAGTTAGTCGATGAAAAAATCATGTATGATAAAAACTAGCTGATAAACTAGATGTAAAATGTAAAGTAACCAAAAAGAACATTTTGAAAAGAATAATTAATTACAACATTTCATACTATAATTAAAGCAAATCCCTAATAATAAAATATGTTAATTTATACAAAAAGATATTAAATAAAAATTAAATAGTATAATATGTTAATTAAAAGAATTCCAAATTGATTCTCACACACATACACATATTATAAATTTTGGATTTGTTAAAATAAATTTTAGAAAAAATCTATATAATTTATAATTTTTATAATATCTTCAAGTTTATATTTTATTCAAAAATAAAAACATCATCGTTTTTTTAAAATCACATAAAACCATATTATAACATCGACTGAGATAAAGAATAAAATGAAATATTAAAATCAAAATGTATCTCGCTGCATTGCACGAGTACCCTTCTAGTATACCTTAATACGAATTAAACCATCGGTTTGAAATTCCCAATCAAAGATATAATCATAGTTGCCAACTGATGCTGTCATTCGAGCCACGAGTGTTACCTTTGCTCTTGATTCTCTTATCTGTTTTTTTTTTTCTCCAAAAATATTAAAAATAATTAATAATAATAATTGTAAATTAAATAATAACAATAATAATGCAGTAATAAACTTTAAAAATACATGTCTTAGAACATAATTGTTACGTACGTTAAAACCCATGACCGGAATCTCTGAGTGTCGCCAACCAATATCCCCAGCGTATCGTTCAAATATACAGATGATATTTGGTTGGATGAAGGGTTGGCCATCTGTAGTAGTAAATACCGCGTCCATATAATATGCGTGTCTCGGGCAATCATTCAGTTCCACAAGTGACATGGCGGTTGCCCCGAGTCCAAACTCACCGGCATCCATATACGACTTGAAGTACCATGCCTCGTCTGGGTCCATATATGGGACAAACAGTTCTGACGCGAACCCTTTGTACATCACGCTTCTGTATTTCCCGTCCTCAGCTCGAATCATGGCCTGGGATATTACCATCCCGGCTCGTATATCGGGCTTCAGGTGAAAAACCCAATTGGCCCATTTCACTATGTGTCCATCATCAACAGTGAAACTGGGTCCTTTCAGTTGTTCCATTGACATAGGGTTAGGTGTTGGGCCCATGTCCGAGAACGGATAGTTAGTCGTGTATTCGTATTCGGTATTGGTTGCTTTTGGTATCGGAATTCCTCGGCCGATGTCTGTAATTTTAATGATCTTTCTTTTGTCAATATCTACCGTCACCGTTAGCCCTTCAATGGGCCTCATGTAAAAGTTAGAAGTGTCTTGGCTCGAGAAGCACTGGACTTTAACAATCCTCTTACCTTCCTCGTCGGGCCCGTACCAGCCCGACGACAGTGTGATACAGTTTATATCGTTCAAGTCCACTCCTCGAGCTAGGATGGAGCGGTTAAACTCCAGGTCCGAATACGTGACCTCCAAAGCCGTTGTTAGGTCGTTAGGTGCTAACATCGGGTAACCCGGCCCGGTATGAACATCATGGCCCGTCACAAGGCCCAAACCCAAATCGACGGTAAGAAAATGGGTCACCCCGTCGAAAAGGGCCGTGACGGATGCCCGCCTAGGGGGAAGTGGGTCGCCCGTTTTCCAACGGGTAACTTCGATCTTTTCAGGCTCATCTAGAGAGAGAGAGTTGATTGATGGGGAAGATAATAGGAAGGGCTCGTATGCCGAAAGAATGGATCTGACCCGATTGATTTCGGATACGGTTAGTGGGTCGAGTGGGTGAAGGGGAGTGTCTGTGAAGTGGTGATCGGAATCGGGTATACCGGCGTCCAAGATTGAGGTTGAGCGGAGATTGGTTTTCCGATGAGTCTTGGTGGTGCACCACGGCGGCGTAGCGGTGGAGCAGCCGAGGTTTTCCGGTGGGTATCTTGAATATATGAATATGAAAGGTGCTATGGCCATGATGATGAAGAATTGAACATAGTTAGATTTTCCCATTTCTCTCTCTCTAAGATGCATATGTGGGTTCGTTGGATGTCTTTAATAGGCCGAATTTATTTCAATCCATTTTGAGTTAAATCATAATAAATATATATTAAATAAAGTTTTATTTTCGAAAAAATTAATTTTATAGGACGTCTAAAATATAGAAGCGTTTTAAAAAATACATTACAGGACTTAAGTTTATATGATATAATATATATATATATATATATATATATATTTAAAAGTGTTACAATAGATTTATAGAATGTTTTTAGTGGTTTTAACAATTTTTTTAGATTTTTTTTAGATAAAGTTTTGTATTAACTATTTTATACAATAATATTTGAAAAGGTATTATATAAATACAAGTGTCTTATAAAAATATGGGTTTATAGAAAGTATGCTGTAAATTAGCTGATAGAACACTTTATTTGAAAAACGTTCTATAAAACTTGTTAAAACGTCTAAAAATGTCTTATAAATCTATTGATTATTATAACGTTTTTAGATAGAATGGTCTATAGTTTGGTCATATAGACCTAAGTTTTATATAGTATTCTATTATGACGCTTAGACAATCTAGGCGTCTTATAAAGCCAGTTTTGTTATAGTGTCGGTAGCGGATTACATGGCGTATATAGGGTGTGTTTGGTATGTTAGGTAAACCCAGACAAGCTAGAACAGAAATATATGGTCTCACATTGGTACAGCAAGACCATGTGGGACAAATATGCAGTTTTTTTGAACCATTAAAATAGACAGAACAAAAATCAAGAAGACGAGATAAGATAGGTAATTTACTAAACTACCCATATCTTAAACACCACAATTTCGTTAGCTACATATCTCACCATCGTCAGTTCAGCTGTTTGCATACTAAAATGTGTCTTTAAACACTAGTTTTTTGTTTAAATGGGTAATCCATATAACCTTCAAAGAAAAAGATATTATCATGCGATTTAAATACGTCTCTTTCATTGATTTATTAAGAAAATGAATGACGGAAACTCGAAACGTGGTACTTAGCAAGAAAAACAAGGGTGGAGGGATCGTCGATGATGACATGGAAAACTCGTTACTATAATTTTTTTAACATATGCTTCTTGCTAAATGTTTTTTACGTTTTTCATTTTTTTTAACCTATATCTGAAACACGAGTTGTTCTTAACGATCCTAACGTTTACATGAAAGTTACGAGACCAATTTACTTTCATTCTTATTTTAGGGGTCGGATTTTACGTTAAATTGTAAAATTATGTAAATATCAGATCGTTTTTCAAGACTTTTTAAAGGGTCACTAACATACTCTTTATGTACATTTATACCCCTCCTAGCTCCTACCCCTCTACTCCCCTTAGAAACAATGTCAAACTTGGATAACTTTTAGATAGGGGTCAAGTTTTTTCTCTACCAACCAATTATAATTAATACGTAAAATTTTATGTCATGTACCAATCAATTATATTTGGTATCAACTTTTTTCGTTGGTACATATTGGTACGTATTGTTGTGGTACAAACTTGACACCTTTTTAAATTTAAAATTACGATTTATACCCCTTATAATTACGTAATTAACTTATTTTATATCTTTTATACTTTTTATTTTATATTTTTATCATATTATCATACGTAATCGTATAATAACTGAAATACATTAAAAATATGTTTCTTTTTTAATAAATTAAAACATTATAATTGTCGCATTAATAGCTTCAAAATGAGCTTAATATAAAATATTTTTGAATTTAATCATATTATTTAGATATAATAAATATACAAACTATTTTTAGTACAGATACTTTAAAAATTTATAGTTATTTATTTAATTTATCATTTTTTAATTACACTCTTATCATATTAGCATACATAATCAATATTAATTAAATTACATTAAAAATACGTATTTCTTTTTGCAAATTACATATTTAGAATACTCTCGTCGATAAGGTTAAAACAAGTCCGATATTACATATTTTTTGAAATTAAATATATTATTAATCATCATAAATACGTAAACGTTTTACATGATTTTTAACACTTACATTTTATACTTCTATATTTATTCAAAGAAGAGAAAAGTTCAGAAAAACTCAATGAACTTTTTTCATTTTGACTGATTAAGTTTTTAAACATTTTTTAAATAAATAAAATAGTTAATCTTTTATTGAATATTTTTAGATTTAATTATATTATTAAATATCATAAATACGTTAAAAATTTATCTCTATATCTTACTCGTTAATATATTAATTTAATAGATTGATTACATCATAAATGTTATTTGATTTCTAATAATGTCTTTTATTTTATAAAATTAAGAATAATTGAAATTTAAAAAAAAATTAATAAAATAATAATATTATTTTTTATTTGTTTTAACCTTAAAATTTTGGGCATGAATTCCATTAGAATACTTAATTAAAGTATTTCAGGATATTATATCTAATTAGTCCTACATAAATAAATAATAAAAACAATCTATTTTAAAATTTAAATTATAATGTATCAATATTGAAAATCAAAATATATTTGTCATTTAATAATAAATGCATACATATATATTTATTTATATATACACTATATATATATATATATATTAAAAAAATTAATCGGGGTCAAATTAGGGACGGATAATGTCATTCCCAATCCTGCTTCGTGTTTAAAAATAAATCCTCGTCTCCTATCCGTTACTCTTTACACATCAAATCAGGGAATTTCTGCACTCTAAAGTCGGGTACCCATCGTACCATGGAAATCCCGTCGATAATTTTATTTAACCTTTTTTTACTTTTATTCAAAATAAGATTTGTTTTTAGTTTTAAAAATAAAAATGCAAACTTCTGACGGAAATCCGTTGGAATGTTTTTCCACAACAAATGTTGACTTGATGAAGGGGTTAGAATCACTTCTTTATTTCTCAAGTATTCACCACTTCTTAAATGAATTTATTAAATAAAAACAAAAAAGACAAAATAAAAAATGTATAGAAATCTTAGGCGTTGTTAGTTCACCTTTTAGTAGTTTCATTAAGACGCAATATCTGAATCGTTAAGAGATAAATCTTGTTTGGTAAAAAAAAAGTCTGTTTCTTAATGGTTCTAAAACTCTCTGAATGATTTTGTATCATGGGTCTCCCTTAACCATTCAGCACCCTGATTTCGTTCAAATAATTACCAAACAATTATATTTTATTTTGCACTTATCATAAAAAATTCTTAATTATTATGACCACTTAATCATTTTACATCAAATCATTTAACAGTAATTAAAAACAAAAGTGTTGGCTAATTTCTAGACTCATCATTTTAGGCCAGTGCTCCACAGCCTTCTTTGTTTGATACTTACTCATGTGTCCCCACTTATTCTATCAATGGATTCCCTGCTCATATGCATAATCTCCACTCTTAATTTACAACTTTAGTCCCTAACTTTATAGTTAATTGACATGTGATAATGTCATTTTTGATGTTATTCTTGTACCACTTTTCTGGCAGCTTCGTTTGGTTTCCAAGCAAACAAAGCATTATTTTTTGACAGTTTATAACAAATTTGTATAAGAATCGACCTTTCAAGCGAAATGGAAGAAACTAGAGGTTTTGAGCTTAGTTGCAAGATATTGTAGTCTTTTTGAAAAAGTTGATTCCAAGAGGAGTCCAACGAGACCTTCTGGAGGAAAAGGGAAGCTAAAACGAAGAGATAGTGACCAAAGCGGTGTTGCAGGCCACTAGGGCCGCGAGTTGCAAATCTATCGACCAGATTTGATCCGGGCAATTTTTCATTTCATTGACTTGAGTAGCATAAAAAGTCATATGTGAACCTGTGGGACGCTTCTATTTTAGCTAGGATTTTTGAGACACGACATCCCTTAGAATACAACTCTTGAGCGTTTCTGGTGATTCGAGGGCGATTTTGGAGCCACGAAAAGTGAAGGTCACTATCAGGATTGAAGATCTGAAACCATAATCATTAATTGCTAGTGGGGATTCATCATCAAAAGGGAGTTTTTATATTGTTTTAGACTTTGATTGAGAAACCATGTCTAAACTTGTTTTAGCTTGCTAATACCAATCATCACGAAACCAGTAACACTACCCAACGAGATATGCACAGCCTTTAACAAATTGATTTTAGTTTGCTTTCTTCTAGGCTAAAGAAGGTGAACAGAGAGGTAAGTCAGATATAAGTTTAATTTCAATTTGATTAGCTGCCTTCTTTTTCCATCTCAACTCATCATCCAGATCTAGGTACAAAGACCAGTATCCATATATTGACCACCATCGTCCTTGTGTTCGATGTCATTCACCTTCTCAGTAAATAGCCAGGGAAGAGGAGGAAAAGTAGGGATTGGGTGCACGGTGATGGACAGGGACTATTGTCGCCATGAAGGAGGAGGAAAGGTAGGGGTTGGGTGCATGATGATAGACAGGGACCATGGTCGCTATAGGGAATGACGGGTGATGAATTCAATGGAAGGTTGCGAGGGAATGGTCGAGATGCATTAATTGGTAAAAGACAAAAAATAAACAAGTCAATGGACGAAAATGTCTTTTCACTTAACGAAGAAATTAACAAAGTTGATCAAATGGACCTTTTCAAAGTAAAATGAAAACCATAAGGACCAAAATTGTAGTTTACTCTAGATATTTTTACAACTTCAGTGCTACGACATACCTCTATAGTAATGTGGTACGAAGTCATTTTCAATAAATTTATTATTCATGAAAAAGAAATACGACTAATTTGGCATGAACAATGTAAGCTCGAGATAGTTTACCGAATAAATTGATATGTCGGCATTTCTAGCCCACCAAACCAACAGATGCTCGGGCGGGCGTTGATCACATCACTGGCTTGGATCGTTACTCCCAGTTGGACATGCCCCTCTCATTTTTTATTGCGATAGGATTTTAATTACTTGACTTTAGTCATATATACTATATTATAAAATATTTAACAAAAATCTTAAAAACTATTTTTTATGCATTAAGTACTGTTTATTGATGCATATTACTTACAATTCAAGATTATAAATAAATTGTGCGTATGTACAATTTATTAAAACTTCATGTTTGAATTTGAGTAACTAACTGCAGATAAACATAATCAAACATCGGATATGTATCTTATTTTAGATATAAAAAATTTAAAATTTATTTAGAATAATTATTGAATTATAACAAAATACTAATTATTATCTTTATTCAAAATACTATTTTTTATTTGTGTTACAAGTTTGTACATGTTTATACATATTTTTACAATATTCTCAATTTCTTTTTTCATAATTTTCAAGTTTTTCAAATCTCAAAAATAGTAATTTAAAACATTTTGTGACCGGCCCAACGGGCTGGAACCATTGATGGGCCTAGCTAGGATTTTCGTCGAAACCGATCAACTTGATTTTAAAGGACCCATTTAGAATAGGTTTAACGTAATCCGAAATCGATTTTTACCGAAACAAGAACCGATCAACTTGATTTTAGAGGGACCGATTTAGAATCGATTTAACTTAATCCAAAACCGATTTTTGACACGCTTCTAATTCTTCAAACAAACTTGGGCTTATTGTTTGGGCCCGGCTAGAGTTGCTAAATTATTTAATTATTATTAATATATTAATTAAAGTCATTAATTATTAATTATTAAAATGGGCTATTTAAATGTTGAGCTTCATTTTTGAGTTATTTTAGTATAGAGTAAAAGAGATACGGTAAATAGGTCTATAACTATTATTATCGACGTTTATTTAAGTTCTTAATTTGAGGGGACCATTCAAGAAAGAACTAGATAGTTTGTAGTAACCATAACATTCAATATCAATCACAAATTAACGGATAAATTAGAAATTTTATAATTTTGGTAATTTCACTTCAAAATTTAATTAAAAAACATTTTAGGTGTTTTAGAATCTTATTTTTTCTCTCTCTGATATTCGGTAAACCTTATTCCGACGAACGCCAACTAAACACAATATACACAATGTGATATCTAAAATATATACAAGATGCATTGTGATATCCAACGTGATACACTGTGAAACTAATTGTGATATCCGGGTGATACCTTTGAATTTTAAACCACAAAAATTCCTTAAAAAACTAGATCTAGAAAAATTCCTTAAAAACATAGATCTTTGGGGGGCTTTTAATCCACTTTGGATTCGTCAACTAGTTTTGGAGTTGTCGGAACTGGCACTGCAACCATCGGCGTTTTTCTTCTTCTGGTTTCGCCACTGGAGTGTTCAATTTTGCTTGTCTAACAAAAAAATATATTTCCTTCGAATTGGGCATTGATTTTGTTGAGATCACAGTTTACATAAATTGGAAACCCTACATGAAATCGACTCCATGTGTTCTGTTAAAGCTTTCCTTCACCACTTATGATCAAATTCCTTGCTCTGAGTTGAACCCTAAGGGGCCGTTTGGTTCGCGGAATTTGATGGAATTGGAATGACAAATTCCTTTGACCAAATTCCAATTCCTTTGTTTGGTTCATTTTTTGAATGGATGGAATCCTTCAAATTCCATTGAATTCCATAAGTTAATGAATTCATCATTCCTTAGCATTATGGAAGGAATTGAATTCCATTACCATTCACCACGATCATGCTACTATTGTTCATGATGCCCCACCCTTAACCCCCACCACTGATGTCGCTGCCACCTACCCACCCTTCGGTCACTCACTACACATCCCTACTACGACTATGCTACTAACGTTACTGTCACACCCCTAACTTAACCCCCACCACCACAACATTATTATCGTCGTCACAACTGCCACTCACCCTACCGCACCTTACCCTAACCACCACTAGCCACTATGTCACTACTGTCGTCATCATACCCACTCACTCCCAATCACCCTGACCATCATCCCACAACTATCATCGTCACAACTGTCACTGATCCCCACCTCCCCCCCCCCAACGCCCTTAACCTAACCCTCCACTCCCACACTGCTATTGTCGCCTTCACAACCGCCATTCACCCGCACCCCACCCTACCCCAACCCACCACTAAACACCATACCACTATTATTGTCTTCATACCCACCCACTCCCTGGCCGCAACCTCCCGACCACTATCCCACCACTAGCATCATCACAGCTACCACCCCGCCACCTACCCGTACCCACCCCACCGTCCTGCCTTGCCCCCACCCTACCTTACCCTACTCTAACTCATCACTAACCACCATCCTACCACTGTAGTCATCACAACTATCACACTGCCACCTATTGCCCCACTTTGGCTTCACCCCCACTGCCTCGCCCCACCCTTGCCTGCCCGCAACAATCCCCACCTATGGAGCAGGGTAGGGCAGAAGTGGTGGGGGCAAGGCGGGTGACAGTTATGACGACGACATTAGTGACATGGTGGCTGGTAGGGTGTAGGCGGGGCGATGGATGGGATAGTCCATACAAAGATGATTATTCCAATTCTATTGAGAGATTTCATTCCAATTCCTACCAACCAAACGCATGGTCAAATTCCATCAAATTTCATTCCAATTCATTCAAAGTCAAATTGTTTTGATGGATTCCAATTCCATCAAATTTCATTCTGTGAACCAAACACCCCCTAAGTTGTTCCTTCACAAAACCTACAAAAAATCCACTCAAAAACTTGCATTAAAATTGAAGAAACAATCAAGGGTAGGAAAGAAATTAACGCACCAGGAAGATAGACGAGAAAGGTATCAGATTCGTCTTCATATCATATCGGTTTTGAATGTTGGGTTATACGATGCGCCATCAAGTTATTGGGAGGGTGTTCACAAGGGATGGGGATTGAGAACATTGAGAGGACAAAGATGTGACAAAAAGTTCAAAAGATATGGAAAACCGGAGATGGAGCAGTGGTTCAACATCATCAATGCTTTAAGGGGTGGGAGGGGGCAGAGTTCATCGTCACATGGAAAGGGAGGTCTTTATCTGAGATCTCAAAGAGAGAAAAACATCATTGTAACTCTTGAGGGGGTGTTGGATCGGAGCTTGGTTGCTGGTGAGACCGAGGAAGATGAAAAACACATAATATTTTTAGGGTTGATTGTTGGTGAGAGATATGAAAAGATTTGATGAAATGTGAGATATGGAAAGTTATTGAAATGGGTTGTCAATTTTTGCTACTAAATTATTTTTTATGATTATTTAAAATATAATAATAATCATCTTAAATGATTGGTTTATATTAGATCTTACAGTTATCACAAACTACATTGTTCTTATTTGATTAAGCACTTTGATTCATTAAGTCAGAACTAACATGACAAAAAGAAATACAAATAGATTTTCTTATAAATCTACAAACTTTGATTTTTGACCCATTGTTTTGCAAGCTTAATCCCACACGTTGGATTTTGGTGGATTCATAAAAGTCAACGGTCTCACCCCTCTTTCTCTTGATATTCTTTCTCGCACATAAAATATGATAATATATATTATATTTATATATATATACGCACACACATTCTCACCAAATTCAAAACCACCCTAAGAAGAAAACAAAAATCAAAAACCACAAACTACAAAAGATGAAGCTCGTTTGGTCGCCGGAGATGGCAGCAAAAGCTTTCATGGATACCGTTAAATCTGTACGTAATCCCTTCATTAATCTTCCATCTTTCAAATTTCTTAATTTCGTTTCAATTTCCATCTGGGTTTCTGAAATTCTTTATCTTTTTCCGTTAAAAGTGTAAGCTTTACCAAGGATCAAGTGCGGCGGAGCTGATATCGGCGATGGCCGCCGGTTGGAACGCTAAACTCATCGTCGAAACGTGGTCTCACGGCGGCGTAATTGCAACAAGTATTGGATTGGCGGTGGCGTCCACCCACACAGGCGGCAGACATGTTTGTATAGTTCCCGATGAGGATTCGAGATCGGAGTACTCCGCCGCCATGGCGAAAGCTGGTTTGTCGCCGGAAGTTATGGTTGGAGAACCGGCGGCGGTGGTTATGGGGTTGGAAGTTATTGATTTCTTGGTGGTGGATTCAAGAAAAAACGACTTTGTTCAGATCTTAAGGGCGGCGAAATTCGGCCACCGTGGGGCGGTGCTTGTCTGCAAGAACGCGAATTCCCGGGCGACGGCGGAGTTCCGGTGGCGGAGTTTGTTTGAGGGCGGATCACGGCGGATTGTGAGATCGGTGTTTCTGCCGGTGGGAAGGGGGTTGGATATTGGACACGTGGCTGCGGGTGAAACCGGGTCGGGTTCAAGTAAAGTGCAAACGAGCAGGTGGATTAAACGGGTGGATAGAGAATCCGGGGAAGAGTTTCTGATCCGAAAATAAGAAAAGAAATATTCTATTGATGAAAAAAAATTTGTTTTTTAATTTCTTTAATTTTGTAATTAAAATTTATAACATTTTATTTTTTATTATTTATGTTAAATTAATACAGTATCGAAAAAAGTCTGAAAAAACTCAAAAAAAAATTATATTTTAAATGATTAAATCTTTTTTTTAAATAAAATAAACTGAACCATCCAATTCTTAGAACTTGAAATGTTTTCAAGTAAAAAAAAAAAATCTTAAACCAGATTTACCGTTCTCATATTCTACGTCGTTCAAACCCTTGGTTCCCCTCATCACCCCTCGTTGTCCCATCGATGTAAGCTCGATCTCCATCATCATCCACTGTCGTTGTCAGCCCCTGTCATCGATCTCCTTTTTCTTTATTCTCCCACTTTTTCTATTTGTCAACACACATTCCATTAAATTGTTGGAAAACATGAAGAATCGAAAAACAGATGAAAAGGAGATAAATGGCATAAGCAACGACGACAGTAAACGGTGATGGAGTGCGGGCTATGATCAGGCGACGAATGGAGCGATGTCATAGGATGCGAGAGGTTTGAATATTGTACGTGCTAGAACCGTAATATTGATTTAATATTTTTTGAGGCATTAAAATCTTCTTAATCAGCATCAGATATTTTATTTGCATTAGAAGAACATATGTAACATATTTCTAAAAGTTCAATAATAATTGTTAAAATGGATATACATAACCAATTTTTAAAAGCTCGGTAATATTTTTTTGATTTTAAAATATTATATATATGGTTTTTTAATTTGTTTGACTATTTTTTAAATTAAATAATTTATTTAAAAGTTAAAATGTAAAAATAATAATAATACCTATTAATCCATTTATTATATTTACTTTAATCTTTTTTCAAAAATAAAATAAATGAAAATCTTAAGTCAACGAGGGACAAACGAGCGTTGACATTTTGTATCGTCTTGATCGAGTTTACCGACCTATTAAATGCATATACGCAAACGAGTGGATGTATTTTAAAAAATAGGGAAAAAAAAAAAACAAATTGGTGATGCACGTGAAACGCACGTGAATTAATTATTTTTATCAATTTTCAATCCCTACTTATATTATAAAGTATTTGAATTAAACTCTTAAAACTTGTATTTAATATATTATTTGATGTTTAATGATGTATATTACTTAAAATTTAAGATTACAAATAAATGGTGCATGAATACAATTTTTTAAACTTTTATGTTTCAATTCATATAACTAGCAGATAAACATAATCAAATACTTGATAAACAGCTCATTTTAAAAATTATTTTTTATAAAAAGATTATATTATTAAAGCTAAAATAAATTACTTCAAAAACTAATGGATGATGTCAAAAACTTTTTTTTTTTTTTTTTACAATTTGATCTAATCCAAATGGAGGAGGTGACGCTTAATATTTTTTTTAAATTTAGGGAGAGAAATGACTAAGAGATGAATGTAAAGTCTGAAAATGGTTATTTATGTTAATTTCCCTTTATCAATTTTATTTGTAATATTATAAGTGTACTCGTACAATACAGCAAGATATGTCTCGATTTTAATGTTTTGTTTTATTCTGTCTCTATAGATGTTATAATACGGTTTTTATGTGGTTTTGAGAAAAAAAAATGTTTTTATTTTTAAATAAAATATAAATTTAAATATATCATAAATCTTTTGAAATAAATATATCAATATTAGTATAAAATTAACTATTTAAAATTTAATCATATAACATTTTATAAAGATAATAATTAAGTATTCTGTTAGAACTCAATGATTATCCTAATTATATTTTAGATTTTTTATATTTAAAATGAAATATTTATCTTGTATTTGAGTATGTTTATCTGCAGTTAGTTATATGAATTCAAACATGAAGATTTAATAAGTTGTACTTACGTACAGTTTATTTGTAATCTTGAATTTTAAATAATATGCATCAATAATTAATACTTCATGCATAAAAAACAGTTTTTAACCGTTTTTGTCAAATGTTTTTATAATATAGTATAGATTAATTTACATGTTAATAGAGTAAACTACAATTTTGGTCCCTACGGTTTTTAAAATAACACTTTCAGTTCTTTCAATTTCGAAATTACAAAATGTCCATCATGGTTTGCAAAAATTCATGATTTTGATCACTTCGTATAACTAACTTTATAATGGTCCCAACATCCATCAATGGCCATACACATGAGATATACTTGTCGCCAAACAACTGTATTACCATAACCAGTATTTTCAAATGTTCTCATTATAATTGAACTGTCCATGCTTATTTCGAGTACTGAAACTCTTTTCCAGATGTATTCAAATACAGGTTCTAAATTTACAAATTCAAGCTCTTGTCAGTCCAAATTCTCTATATAATCAAATCGAACTCGAATAACTTAATATTTATTTATATTTTTAATTTTGTATTTTCATATAAGCATGCATACCTACACTTGGTTAAAGGCCCAATATATGTTATTGGGTCCTTGGACCTTAAGCCCAAAACTTAAACGTATCAACAAGCCGAATGGGGTTATTTGGAGATCGGGTCGAAATTCGTCCAAATTATGGTTTTTTAATAAAACAACTCCAGAGTTTCAGAAATGGTGAAGTTCAGATTAATCTCCCAATTAGTAACGATTGTAGGTTTCAGTTACAGGTGAATCTTCCAGTGGCCATAACTCTGTGTGTGTGTATGTATGTATGTATGTATATATGTATGTATGTATGTATGTATGTTTGTATGTATGTATGTATGTATGGATAGATTCGAATATGGGTAGATTTTATGATACTCTTGTTTTTATTCACCACGCTACGATTCTTGTAAAAAAACAAAAGAACAAGCCAGTTATTTTTAAGCATTTTAATATACTTTTAGGGATTTCCAACATTATTTGGCTAATTTAACATGCTTTTAGCTGATTTTTTTATTTTACCATTTGATTTATTAAAGGGGATCAAACGAAAACATGGTCAAAATAAGAGAACAAAAAAGCAACCAAATCACATGTGATTTTACATGCGATTACAAAACACATATACAACAAGGGTGAGCGGGCAACCTGGCCCACGACCTCTTGTCGCGGCCAAAATCACGTGAATCACATGTGATTTTATACGTAATGGTAGTATAAAATCATATGTAATTCGGCTTCCGACATGTAGCTCAGTTGACAAATGGACAAAGCAATTTTGCCGAAATACAAGACATGTCCTAAATTCATTACTGGACATTCCCACACTTTTCTATTAGCCTCAGCCGTTGATTGAGTAAAAAAATACTCTCTTACATTGGTGTCATTTAAGACAGATTCTGTATGATACGAGTTGAGTTGTGATAGTCAACTTTTTACCAAATTTGGAAAGAAAAAAAAAATGGAATAAAGTTTAATAAAAAAGAATTGTATAAACAGCCGGCGGCTTGGAAAAAACAATACGGTGGTCGTTAGGCGTAGGCAGCAAGGTAGACGGCATTATTTAAACAAGTTTATTAATATTTTTATCCTTTTATTATTGCTTTATAGTCCCACATTTTAATATATTTGTAATATATTAATATATAGAGAGAGACTATTGGAATCCCATGAAACCTGTAAAATTAATTTTTTGCACTTAGAACTTCATAGTAAAACATTGTGAAATATAACTTTCACAGTGTTTTTGCTGTGAAGGTTCGGTTTTTTTATCTTCACGACTTTTTGCTATGAAGTTTCGAGTTTTAAAAAAGTAATCTTACGGGTCTCATTAAAACAAATTGATCTCACGTGAATGGAACTCGAGTAACACAACAAGATACATCTTGATTTTAATATTTCGTTTTATTTTTTATCTCAGTCGATGTTATAATATGTTCTTATGTGATTTTGAAAAAAAAAATATTTATATTTTTGAATAAAATATAAAATTAAAGATATCATAAAAAATTGAAAAAATATATATCGATATTTGAATCAAATTAACTATTTAAAATTTCTCATTTTTTGTGTGATTTTTGAATTTAATTTTTATATTATAATTTAATTTAGGTTCAATAACAAAGTAATTTATATTTGGTTTAATAATATAATTTTTTATAAATATAATAATTAATTATTTTGTTAGAACT